CTACGGCAGCGCGGAGGAACATCAATTGCCATCGCACTCCGTTTGCTCTCCAAGGTGAGATCATCTTGCTCTAACAGCACCGACACGTCCATCTGGCACGGCGGCCCAGCAGCCGGGCGCTGCCTCCTCGTGACGCTAACGCGCCGCGACTCACCCGACATCTGCCGCGTTGGCACCGCGGCCCGCTCCGCGCTGGCGGGCCCCGTCCACGCGCGTTTGCGTTAGCTCCAGCAGAGCCCAGGCAGCACTCGGCCCATCAGGACGCCTTAAAATCATCGGGCAGAGACAGCCTGGTGCTGCTCAAGGCGCACYGAAGGCTGCGTTGATCATTCGCGGGCAGGACGCGCAGCGCAAGGYGGTGGCAGAGAGCCCAAGGAAGCTCCAGAGACCCAAGTTGCAACTCCATGGCCAGGCAGATAGACACTAAAGGGGATCTGAAGATACAGTTGGCCCAACTGAACATGGGAACAGAGTCTTGAGGACGTGCAGCGYTTCTGTTGACATGTCAGGACAAACAACATCTCAACAAGTGCTAGTTGGCCAAAAAGATGACTGAGAGCAGTTTCTTCCCCTGATCTTGCTTCAAGATGGACCCTTTTTTCCATCTATTTCTCTTTTGCACCACTTCCAAGTGGACCGAGTCACCTTTCCGTTGGAAAGGGTATCTCCTGGTCAAGCTGCAACAGGTCCGGGACACGACATCCAGCAAAATCAGCTGGCACTTGCCCATGCTTGCCCAGCCTGTGCGTCCCAGAAAGGAGGAAAATAGCCTAGGATGAGGCTTCCCAGCGCATGCACTTCCCATGCAATTCAGCTTCAGTTGCCCCCAGTTTGTCCTACGCAGCCAAGGTGGCTGKACCTAAGACATCGTTGATAACCTCAGCTGCAACACGACAGAGCCAGTTGCTTCACAAATGATCCCAGACTGGTTCCTGGTTTCCCTGGGACTGATCGGGTACTGATACTGACGCATCTATCCCCACCTTGGGAAGGGTTATTGCTCCCTCCTCTCCTCCGCAGCTGGAAGAGAGGCCAAGAATGAGATGCTCAAGGTTGCAGGAGAACATGTTGGAGGTGCCCAGCACCAAATAGATGCCCTTGAGCTCAGCTCTGTGAGTAGCTGCTATTTCAACCCCGTAACTAGACCAAAAATTAGAGGAAAAAGCGAGACCTGTTAGAAAAAAAGATATTAAAAAGCCAAGCTGAAGCTCAACGAGCCCATCCATAACCACAGCTTGTTTCCAAGGTCCCTTCGGAGCTAAAAGGAGACACAGGATTTTTTTTTTTAAACTGTTTTTAAAAGGAGTTGTTTGGGCATTAAACCAGCTGCAAATGGCCACAATATAATCAACAACCTGGGTTTTTTTGCTGTTGCTATAGAAAATTGGTTTTAAGCTAAAATTCGCACAGAACTGGGAGCCCTCCGCGCTGGTAATTGCTTGTTTTCATGTGCCGTTTGGCAGCTTGTGCCAGTATCACCTCATTGCATGAGGAAAGGTAGGGCTTGGAGAAGGGAAAATGCAAAATCCCAGCCCTGGAGACCACCGAGGGGAAAAAAAAATCAGGATAAACTGTGCCAATGAYTGTGGCCAGCCCAAAAGAGGGTGAAAAGGGATGGCCTAGGCTTGCTTTTCCCCTGCCAGATGTATTTGTGCACTCTGCAATCCCTGCTTCCCCCAACACACGTGGATAGGGCTGGGTAAAGGCTCATCCTTTTGCATCATCTACCTTTCTCTCTGATAACGCAGTGGAAACAGTTTATACGGGTGGATTTTCAAAAAACCCATCTTGATGGCAGCTGTGGTGGCCAGGAAAAGGCCGAGCAAGGAGGTAAGAGCACCAAAACAACCTCAAAACCCACCACAGCAAGGAAAACACAAAGAAAAAGAGCCACAAAGCAACCTCCTTTCTAAAACCAACCCTTTGGGCAAGACCTTGGTCTCAAACCCCATCAACATCTCATGAACCTACCAGAAAGACGGACACGCTCCCGAGGTCCTCGTAGGGCTGCAAGACGGGACATTTGGCTCCTCCACAGCTGGAGCAAAGTGGGATGGATCAGGCTATGCTTGGGGCAACCATTCCCACCTTTCCTAAGAAGGACATAGTGCTTATTTTGGGAGGAAACTCTTTATTTGGGGGTCCTTTTATTCCCACAGCCCTCCCTGCCCGCCCATGGTAGCTGATGGGCTGCAGGCGACGCTTGGCAGCTGGGACAGACAAGCTGCAGCTTCTCCCAGCTGGGTCCAGCAGCAAAATAGGGCAGGAAAAGCTGGGAAAAAAAATCCATAGGGAACTGCAAAAAACGGGCTACAAGGCTGGAGTGTTTCTGTAATAATTGAATTAATGAGGGYGTGGTGTGATTAATTGTAATTGTTGCCGATAACTCCTTGTTTAAGACCATGTTAATAATTGTTAAGGGAAAAAAATGGAATTCTAATGCCCGGGAATGGCTCTGTAATGGGATAGTCGCACTTGGGCCGCCTGCAGAAATGCTCCGAAATGGTTTGGCTGCTCCGGGGAGGAAATTCCCAGGCCCTGGCCCCGCTGCAGAGCACGGACAAACTCATCACGAAGCCTTGCTGCCACCTGGGGGTCCTTGCGGTGGGACGGATCACGGGCTGTGGATGTGCCCGTACCACATTATGGAAGCTTTAATTCCTCCTGTTCTTTGGGATCCATTGCCATGTGGAAGCGGCTAATCAGCRGTTTGAATCCCAGGCCATTCCAGGAGCAGAAGTTATGGATGAAACGGGATCTAGCAAGACATCTTCAGCATGTTTTTTTGCCCCTTTCTCCTTTAGCATCATTGAAAAATCCTCTTTTCTCTCCTAGCTTGAGCTGAAGCATCCCCTATCCCAAGCCAGGGCATTCTCCATCCCGAGCCTCCTCCTGCAATCAGGAATCAGAGACTGGACTTGCACTTGCAACCAGGAGTCACCTTCAGCTCCTGCACGGGCCAAAAGAAGAGGGCAGGTTTTCCCTTAAATTATTTACTCCCCTTTATTTTTTTTCCCCCTTTTAAATCCCCTTTTCCTCCCATCTGAGCCTAATCAGGGCTCCCGCCCTCCCTTCCTTCCCTCCCAGGGGAATCGATGATTAATGACGTTAAATATAGCAGGAGCCGGTGCGGGTAAAATTAGGGTCCATGCATAAAACATGAGGGYGCCTCGTCAGCGAGCCCAATTAGGCTCAGGGCCGGTGTCGCCGGGGTGGTTTTGGGGAGCGGGCGGGATGGGGCTCTGGTTTCGAGGGCCGTTGCAAGCGGAGGGAGTCGCAGACCCCACACAACTCATTGCACGGGGCACAGGGAGGTGGGCAGGTTCATTTTCCACTCCAACTCTTTGCCACCCCCCTCAGCTAGGGGTGAATTTACCCCCTTGCAGCCAGCGCTGTGGGATTTTCCCACGGGATTTTCCCACGCCTCCTGGTTCCCCAGGACCCAGCCCTTCGAGGCTTCCCAAGCTCCTGCAAAACTGCAGATAAAAAAAAAAAAAAAAAGGGGATTTGGGTCCAGGGGGATGCCTCTAGCCTCGGCTGTGCCAGCTCCGGGAGATGAGGGGGATTTTTGCCTTGGAAAGTGCAGGGAAAACTCTCCCCTTCTCTCTTCCCTCCCTGGAAAGGACACGGCGCCTCCCCAGCCATCTGATGGACCTGCTCTGATAAAAGCATATATATATAAAAACATATCCATATCCACATGCAATCTTTTTTTTTTTCATCTTTATGCAGCCAATTAAAACACTGATGCTCCATTTCCAAAGGGCTTCTCCCTGTGGCTTTGATTAGCCAGCACCTGGGAATGCCCGAGCCCTCAGAGCYAGGGCACCGAGCAAGACCAGAGCACATGCATCAATATATCCATATATACACACACTATGCACATAGATATATGTATATATGTACACAAACATATATAATACATGTGGTAKTTGAATGCTCCAAAATCCAGGCTGGGAAGTGCCAGCATCCAGATCTTTTCCTGGATCTTCAGAGTTGGCCTCCCCGCTGCACCACTGCTCCTAGAGCTCCCTTATTTCTTATTATTATTTAGCATTGTGTGGAAAGACGCTCGCTGGAAGCTGCTGCTCCTGCTCTGTGCAGCCTGCAGATGGGTGGAGCGCCCCAAAACGTCCCCCTTTGGCCCCAGAACTACGAAATGGTAAGGGGGATAATTATAGGGGAAAAAAATAAAAATAAAAATAAAAATAAAAATAAAAATAAAAATAAAAATAAAAATAAAAATAAAAATAAAAATAAAAATAAAAATAAAAAAAATGAAATGAAATGAAATGAAATAAAATAAAATAAATAAAATAAAATAAAATAAATAAAATAAAATAAAATAAAATAAAATAAAATAAAATAAAATAAAATAAAATAAAATAAAATGTTTGAGGCTTGTGTTAGAGATGGATCTAGCCCTCCAGTCCTGTTCCTACACTCCTGGTGAAGCCCAATAAATGAGGTCCATGCTCAGGGCAGAAAAAAGGGCATTTTGGGTGGAAAACTACCAATTCCCACAGGATTCCACCCAGGGCCCCATGGGAAAAGGGTTAAACAAATCCCGAAATAATAAACAGGGGGACTTTCACATTTCAAAGGCTCCCGTTCCAGCACAGCCAGCCAGCATTCACACCTCTGCTTTATTTCCGCAGCTCCGCGGGCCCCGATATATACAGATTCGCTTCTCTATACAGGTAATAATGTACATCATTTATATATATATATATTTATATTATATATATTTTTTTCTCCACACACGCGCTCACACACAGCGCAGCCCACGCCCGCATCCGCAGAGCCCAGTGCAATCCCGGCGCCTCCAAAGCCCGCAGGGAGGCCGGCATTAAGAACCACCCCCTTCCCTCAGCCTTTTTCCCCCAAAACGAGCTGTTTTTTTCCAGGGAAAAAGTAAAAAAAAAAAAAAAAGAGAAAAAAAGTCAATTAAGTCAATGAAGTCCTTTTTTTTTTTTGCTTCCCTCCCTTAAAAAAAAAAAAAATAGTGTGTTTTGTGCTATAGGGTGAGCGGGAGCTGCCAGATGAGCAGGGTGCCGTCGGTGCCGCCGGCGGGCGCCGGGCCGGCGCTGCCGAAGCGCCGGTAGCCGCGGCCGCCGGACACCACGGCCAGCGAGGAGATCTCCTTGCGGGGGGCGTCGCGGGGGCCGGCCCGGCTGCGCACCCACACGTCGGGGTCGTCGGCCACCTCGTAGACGGAGCCGTCCTCCTCGGCGGGCGGCGCCGGCGCCGCGCCGCCCGCCGCGTCCCGCACCGACAGCAGCTGCCCGGGCAGGTGCGACGTGGAGCGCAGGCGGTACTGCAGCAAAATCCCTTTTTTCCGCCCTTCTCCCGGYGCCGGCGCGGCCGGCTCCTCCTCCTCTTCCTCTTCCTCCTCCTCTTCCTCGCCRCCGCCTTCCTCTTCCTCCCGCTCGTTCTTGAGGACATCAGGTGCCAGGGTGCTCAGGGCCACGGCCAGGAAGGCCACGGGGCCGCCGTGGCCGTTGAGMGACACCATCCCTTTGCCTGCAGACAGGAAGCACGGGAATGTCACGGGAGTGCGGGAATAGCGTGGGAATAGCACAGCTTGCACGGGAAGAGCGTGGGAAAAAGCATCACCTGGACGGCATCACCCTGATACGTGGGTACCACCGAGCTTCTGAATGGGTAGAGCACCGGGTTTGGGGACATGTTGGGGGATTTGGGGCATTTTTATTGGGATTTGGGGCTTTTTTCCCTCTGGAGGAGGAGGAGGAGGAAGGTCTCACCGGTGATTTTGGGGATGCCCTCGAGCCGCGGCACGGGCAGCAGGACGATGATGCCCTGGTCGGTGCCCACCCAGAGGAGGCCGTGGCAGATGAGCAGGCTGGTGACGTGCACGAGCTTCTGGCCTGCGGGAGAGAGCGGGAACGATGCCYATCCCAGCCCCGGGAAAAGCCGGAGCGGCCGCTGGAGCGCGGGGAGGAGGCGGCAGCCTCCGGGGGTACCCCTCGATCCCCAGGGCTGGGAATTAGCCTGGGGAAAAAGCTCTCCCGGCTCTGTTAGGAGGGAAATTCAGTCCACGTCTTCCAAAGAAATAAAGATAGGGTGAAAAACAAGTGGAATTTCTAAGGGGTGATAGATATCCTGATGCAGAGAGGGGGAAACGGGGGGGGGAAAAAAGGAAGGGCCAGAAATGGGAGGATGGAAAGGGAGGGTAAAGAGGGGGAAAAATGGGGGGAAAGCATGGGCAAAGAAAATCAGGAAAAAATGAGGAAAAGGAGGTGAAACAAGGGCAAAAAGTGGGGAAAAAAAAGCATGGAAAGAAGGAGGTGGAAAAAGAAGGCAAAAAAGGAGGCAAAAGGTGRGGAAAGGGGATTAAAAGGTGGAAAAAAGGAGGAAAAGGAGTGTTGGGGGCGGCTCACCGGGCAGCACGAAGGTGGTGCGCGTGGCGATGTTGATCTCCTGCAGGTGCTCCAGGGTCTCCGTGTGGAAGAGGCGGATGGAGGAGCCGGAGGCGAAGGCCATCCAGACGCCGCTGCCCGCCCGGATCATGTGCGTCACGGCGGCGGCCGCCTCCGGGTGCGCCTCGAACGTTTGCTGCCAGCGAGGGACRAAGAAAATACTTATTATGACAACAATAATTCCCAGAAGTTCCATTGGGGTCCGTTAGCACGGGGCTCCGGGYGCCGCGCCGGCAAAATCCAAGGATTTTTCCTGGCACCTCCAGGAGGAGCCGCTCACACGGGCTCTCTCTAGCGGCCGGTTTCCCGGCTGTCACAGCAGGAGAAGGGGGGACAAGGTGACCTTGGGAAGCTCCCGGGATCCAGAGAGGACACGGCCTCAAGTAAGGGCAAAAGGGGAAAAAGAACAACAATAGGAAAAAAATCCATTTTTTCCCCACTTCCCATAAGGTTAATGCCGCCATTTGATCCCCTCCTTTTTTTTGAGAAAAAAAAATACATATATATATATATATATATTATCTTCTATATTTTTATGTAAAATAACATATACACAGCTCTGAGCACATCTCCAGCCGAGCCCAATTGGTTCCTCCGCCATGGCTAAAGCACTGAGGGGCTTGCAAAATTATGCAAAAAAAAAGTTAATAATAATAATAATAATAATAATAATAATAATAATAATAATAATGAAAAAGTATACCATTACTTTTTCCTGCCTTTGGCAGCATCATATATATATATACACACACATATAAATAAATATATTCATGTTCTATATATAAAAGCATATATAAAAAATACGCATATAAAATATGTATGTATAAAATACGCATATAAAATACGTATATATAAAATACGTATATAAAATACGCATATATAAAATACGCATATAAAAATACGCATATAAAAATACGCATATAAAAATACGCATATAAAAATACGTAGATTAAAAATACGTAGATTAAAAATACATATATTAAAAAATACATATATAAATATATTTTTTTTAATAGGAGTCTATCTTGTCTTGGCTCAGGATCTGGGGAGGAATAACCCCAAAACCGGATGGAAACCTAAACAGAAGGTGGGGAAAAGAGACCAAAAGGCTCCAAGGAGCAGGGGTACCTGCGGCTGGAGGGTGGCGGCGTCCAGGACGGTGACGCGGTTGCCGCAGCTGGCCCAGAGGCTCTCGTCCAGGGCCAGCAGCGCCCGCACGGGGCCGCTGCCCACGGCCACGCGCGCCGGCTGCTCCGCCAGGCGCTCCGGGCTTCCTGCGGGAAGAGCCCCCCGGAGCGCTGAGCGCCGGGAAAACCACCCGGCTCCCTCTCATCGCACCCCCGTTTGCCTCCCCTCCAAAGAAAACAGCATCTTCCTACCGCAATTCTTCCCTCAAAGAGGGAARAAAMCTCTCAGCATTCCTCTCCTCCAAAAAACAGCATCTTCTTATTGCAATTCTTCCTCCAAAGAAGGAAAAAACAACCCTGAGCATTCCTCCCCTCCAAA